GATAATGGAATGATGGAAGTTATGCTACCAGTATTTCAAATATTAGTAGGGTAACTCGTGGTAAAGAGATTTCAGCAGAGCTTCCAGACTAAGACATATGAGGAAAAAGGAAGGCCTGCCAATCTAGTTCCAACAGTTAATCAATGGCAATAATCCTAAAGATCATGATAAAACAGTCTCTATTCTAGACCCCTGGAATCCAGGTTGCAAGTTATCTGTAGCAGCCTGATTCTACAGAAGTGTGTTGCTGGTTCTGGTGAGGATTAAGGTAGAATGTTTACTCGCCGATGGGTGTGAGTTGATTTGATTCAACCTCCTATTTAAACATGCATTTGGTCAGCAGTTCGGGGCTGGAATCCAGGTTGGAAGTCGTCTGCAGCAGCTGGTTCCTACAGAGGTTTGCTGGTTCTGGTGAGGATTAAGGTGAAATGTTTACTCACCAATGGGTGTTTTAATTGTTTTTGGTCAAACATTGTCCTAAGTGGTATACCACTTGGTCTGGTATAGCACTGGTCTGTCCATTTGCTGTACAGAGGTAATTTATGGTTGTTGTGATGCTAAAAACTGTGACACTGATGTGTCAAATGTGATAATGGCTACCCATGGTGGATAGTATTTGGTGGAGCTTCCCAATTAAAACAAGCTTGGAAGCAGGAGTGGCAGCTTGTCTCTGGAAACTCAATGAACATGGGGAAACTAAGAAAATTATACAAGTGTTCAGGTCTTTCATTCATAAGGTCACTATGAGTTGTCTATGGCTTGACAGTACCTAACAACAACACAACATTATAGCCCCCTAGGCCAGAAGGTCTTCATCATACCCAATGGCTGCACTGATGAGCTCAGACATAACAATTATGGAGATGACACAGGAACAATTAGTGTTTCATTCTGTTATACATGGACTTGCTATGAGTTGGGGCCAACTTAATAGTGACTAACACCCCCAGTAGAGCTCTGATGGCCTAGTGGTAAGACGCTGTGCTGCAATTCCAAAAGCAGGTGGTTCAAACCCACCAGATTCTCCATGGGAGAAGGATGGACACGCTTACCCCCTCTGAAACTTATCGCCTCTGAAAATCTCTCTTGAATTTAAACTACGGGTCAGTTCCAGCTCAACAGCAAACAACTACAAACAGCAACAACAACATCACAATGGATTCTAAATTGCTCTCTTCCTCTTGTATTTCTCAACATTGCAATCTCAAATATAAAGCTTGATAGACCCATCAATTCCCAGCAATTCTCTCTACTATCTAGAAAATTAAGGATAAAGGTATCATGCTATAACTTGAAACACTCAACTATGTGCCAATTCCAAGTTTTCCAAATTGGCTGAGCTACAAATAAACCAAGTCCCTGCCAAACTGTGCTATTTTTTAATCCCCAAATGTGTTTTTTTTCTTCTCCAGTAAACACCACAGTTTGGAAATATCTTGGAGCAAGGCTATAACACATATCAGGAGGCCTTTTCTCTCTGTTTTTATCAAGTATCCCTTGGCCTTTTTTGTCTCAGAAAGATCATGTCTAGAGAAGAACCACCACCTACATCTGTGTTCACAGCTGTCCTCATTCACTTACAACCTATTTGCTCACAAACTACACTCGCCAGAGTCACAAAAGGCACGTCTTGAAGTCTCAGATTTCGTTAAAATGAAAAATGTTCTAATCAAACTACACAAGCAATCTCTCTCTAAACAGATTTTCCTTTCACTATCATTCCATTATGATCTATCTGAATTAATCAGAGTTCAGATGCAGGAAGTCTCCATTTACACTGAAGTTTTTCAGCAACTGCTAAAGGTAGTAATCCAGAACTCCACACAAATGGTGGGGAAATACATAGCTTTACTAATTGGCACACACTCCAAAGCAATAAATTTAAACATTTCCTTCTGAGGTGAGACACTAAGATTTATTTTTAAAACAAACCAAAAAAACCACACAAACCCCACAACATAATACTTACCACAGTGACAGATCTCTGGTAAAAGCAGCAAATGCTACAGAACTAATGAATTTTCATTAGCATCATCAGATAATTTCAGAACGGGTTAAGTTGATACCATTTGCCATCTCCATTAATATCATTGTCATGGAAAAGGTTTCATTTTCAGCTATTTTTGTCTCAGATAAAATCTTTGTCATTAAAATGAGGGATGATTTTGATGTTTAATATATTCCATGACATAATCCAGTGTGATACTAATTTGGCCTTTTCAGTGTTCTATTAATTGACAACCCATCCCTCCTCCATTCCTTAGAATAGCGAGAAGGAAAATAGATTGGACAGCCAATCAAGTTACAGAATACTGAGAGGATCAACAGAGAAGAAATGTGCCGCCCTAATCAGGCACAAACACCAGGCACTCAGATTCTTCTCTCCATACCAATGACTAAGAATGAACAGAGATAAGAATAAATGACACCATCTGAAACCTGTTACATAACGGTATTATCAAAGTACGTTGAGGCTTGCTTAAAAAGTGAGAAACAAGTCTGTCTTCTTTTAATCAGATGAATAAAACTGCAAGTGCATGAAATGCTTAGACCATGGCATTTTTCCTGACCCAGCAACAATTGCCAAAGTATGGCTAGTACTGCAATCTACAGAGTGATTCCTATCATGCACATAACTGTGTGTCCAAGAGCCACTGCTAAACACTCTCCATTCCAATATGTATGAACTCTATTTCCTTCTCTTGTTGAATTACAGCTCCAGCGAGAACTGACCACAGCTGCTTAAATAATGCATTAACTCAGCGTCCAGAAGCTACTGTCATCTGAGTGGGCATTTCCTCTGAGGGTAAACCCAGGAACGTTATCCAGAGATAACACAATTTGTCTTAATCTAAAGTTCAATTTTTATAGCAATAGTGATATAATTTAAAATTCCAGAGAGCAAAGATTATGGCTGCATCAACTCAGCAGGTGTGAACAGTAGTCTAATTAAACCAATTAAAATAGCTCAACAAGACCAAGCCTTTGCTAAGTTTCCCGCAACAGCATAGCACTGAAAACAAACATTAGTCATGCATAATATTTATTTCCACCACCCCCTGCAGTCATCCAAACGATTGTAACTTATAGTGACCCTGTAAGAACAGAGTGGAACTACTCTGTGAGGTTTCAAATGCTATAAATCTTTACAGAAATAGACTGTCATATCTTTCTCCCTTGGAGAGGCTAGTGGGTTTGGACCACCTCCAAAGAGAAAGGTGAGCAATCCCCTCCTGTGTGATTTACAGCCTCTGAAAACCCATTGGAGGCTCACCCATAAGTCAGTTCCAATTTGATGATGACTTGAGTTTGAGATATTTGGGTTAGCAGGCAAACGTCTTACCCACAGTGCCACTGTTGTTGATTGCCTTTGACCTGAGCATGTCTCATAGCAACCCTATGAACAAAAGGCCTGAAGCCCCTCTACAACTATTGAAGAGTTTCCGGAGGCATGTTGTTTAGGAAGTGAATGCCACTCCTGCTTCTAGAGTAGTCATGATTATTTACTAAGTCTTACTTTATTATTTATCAGCTCTCCTCTGGTGGCCTAGTGGCAAGAACCTGCGCTGTAATTCTGACGGCATACGGTTCAAGGCCACCAGCTGCTTTGTGGGGAAAAGATGAACAATCTGCTTTCGTGTGATTAACTGCCTCTGAAAACTTGCTGGAGGGTCAGCTATGGGTCGGTTCTGACTCTACAGTACACAACAACAACAACAATCACATATTCTAATAGAAGAATACCCCCGGGGTACTTGTAAGAGTTAAACTCTTACTTCAGTGACTTTAGACACTCCATCCTTGGTTAATTCTGGGCAAGCCCAAATCACTTCCTGAGTTAAGGCTTTTCAAGAGAGACAACAAATTATCAAGAACACTTTTTCATTCAAATCCACAATTACTGCAAAACAGCCAATGGACACTTTAATTTTCCATAAAATATTACTATTACTTTTACAGAAATAAAATGAAATATTTCAGATAGATAGATGGATGATAGACATGATGCTGTTGTTGTTATATGCTATTAAGTCAGAACCAATTCATAGCTCACCCTCCATTGGGTTTTCAGAAGCTTATAAATCTCACAGGAAGAGAACGTCCATTTTTCTCCCAAGGAGCAGTTGGTAGATTCAAACGGCCTGCCTTCAAGTTAACAGTGCACCTCTTTACTCACTAGGCCACCAGAACTCCCTATAGCATACTAGTATTTAAGTAAACTAATATGCCCCCTTTCATGCACAAAAACACATGAGAGATTAGCAATAAGACTTGTGCCATAAATTAAGGTTTACTACTTCTTCTTCCCCCACCAATCTCCTGTCCCAAACAGCAGAATCCACTACAACTTCATTGCTGAAAATAGACATTGGTAAAATGACAATAGAACTTTGGATAAGTACCTTGATAAAGACCCACAATGGAGCTCATAACCCCTTATTATGAGCAAGTTTTTACATCTTGCCCTTCATCTCAATGTAATCCTCAGAATTTACTGCAAGAATAAAAAATACAAAAAGTCAAATATGACAAGGAAAATATCACTTAGGTATAGCCCATGGGGGGCTAGTTCAGGATTGTTTTTAAATGATTACGAGTCTTAATCCGTCTAGTGACAGATATTAAAATCTACTGCCTTTTTCCCCCCCTTAATGACTTCCTAATGTAAACTTCCATCTCAAAAAATTAAATAGTATGTCATTTATTCAAATTCGCAGTGGCTCTAATGTCCCGACAAAGTCCCTCATCAAAACAGACAACTTTAAAAAATGTTCGCCTGAGTCAGAAGCTCTGTTTCCCAAATTAGCAGCCCAGTGTCACCTTGCAGACCTACAAGCAACAAAACCATCTATAATAATGCCAGCTTCCCTCTTGAAGGGACAGCCTAGGTCAAGACAGCTCTCAGAAGCGCCCACTGTCCCACACAGGTCAGACAGAGCGTGGCGACGCCCAGCCTCCAGCAACCTGCACATGCCATCATCTCATCAGAGACTGCTTACCTATCTCCCTGGAGATCTGGGTGAAGGCCTCCACGCCGCTCTCTCCGTAGTTCCCCTCAGACGCCAGCGTCGACACGTAATTCCACCCCAGCGCTGTCACAATGTCCACCATGGCTTGCGCTTGGTAGGAGTCAGGCGGGACAACCCGAGAGAAAAAGTCATACCTGGTGTTATCACTCAGCTCTGGGGCTGTGGATGCATAGCTGATTTGAGGTATCTGCAAAGCAAACAACATTGCAACCCGTGAGCAAGCTTATCGAAGAGGAATCATCCTCACACGAGAAAGACTAAGGAAAGTGTGAGCAGAAACCCAGACATCTCTGCCGGAAGCCAAGACGTGGTTTAATTAGACTATTTTATAAAGTTCTATAGGTGGACTTTCTTGCCAAAGACAATTGTTCTCAGCACAAACATTTTAAGATTTTCTTCAAGTTCCACTGGTTCTGAAACCAAAACAAAATATTTCTGCATTTTGTTGTTGTTCTTTTTGATCTTGTCATGCTAAGCGATGGTGAGATAAGTCGAAAATGGAGGTTTGGTAGATGCTTGTTCAGAAAAGGTCACCTCTGAAGTAGACTGTGGCCTTGGGACCTAAAGGTTACACGTAAAATGACTAATCAGGAATTTAATGTGAGGATCTTTTTTATACTTGTTAACACATTCCTTACGAGATCGTATTTTTGGTAAGACACTATTTTTTTTCACTAGTTTATTTACAAAATTCTATTACAAATTCAAACAAATTCTTTCCATTTTCCTCACCCCTCCCACCATCAAATTGTACAACCCAATGATTAATCCCTTCTTCCCCCTGTACATCCATATTCCTCTGCTTCCGGCCTCTCCAATATACAGTTCTGCAGGCCTATTCACTCTAGGCAATCATATCAAGAAAATCATCAAGTACCCCAAAAAGATGTTAAAAGAACCAGTCTTGTATAAGAAGAACATGTTTACCAATTCTTTCAAAATAAAATTTCAAAAAGAATCATAAGCCATTTTCTTTCTCTAGGAAAAAATAGATTATATTTTTACATAAACAGAGTGAATCACTAGAAGATCTTCAAAATGAGGATTCTTGTTTTCCCAAAATACACTTGAGCTGAGAAAGAAATATATGTCACAAATTTAAAAATCAAATAATAAAAAGTTGTTGTTGTCATTATGTTGTGTGTCTTTGGGCTGGTTCTGAGTCATGACAACTCTGTAAAACATAAAGAAACACTACCCAGTCCAGTATCAATGAGTAAGTGCAGTGTTGAAGTGCTCACTTAGCGTCCACCAAGTAGCAGTCACACACATGGCCAAGTGTCCAAGGACTCTACCAGTGAAAGGAGCTGTAGCAGAAGAACATGTGGAAAGAAGTCTAGTATTCAAGGACATCCAGGTTGTCCGAGGGCATGAAGAGTCAAGGAGTATGGAGAATAAAGCCAAGGGCAGCATTTTGGCCACAGGGCTCTGCATGTCTAAAGGCAGAGTCAGGAAAGAAGTGGCTTTGCAGGAGATGCAGTGTTTCGATGGTGGAATGTATACTGTCAAGCAGGGAATATAAGGAGCTCAACCTGCCAAGGTGAACAGAATCCTAAATGCAAACAGCCAGTCAAGTAAGGAATAAAGGCAGAGTTTTTCCAAAGGCCTTACGGAAACACAGAATGACTGTAGCTAAAGACAGACATGTAATCAGATTTTTGTTCTAGAAAGATCAAATATGTAGAAAAGAGTGGTCCTCAAATTTCTGTGCACATCTGGGTAAGCTCATTCCCAGAGATACTGCTTCTGTATATCTGGAGGTCCAGGAATCTGCATTTTAATGTTGTTTGATTAAACTGCATACTATGTATACTGGCTGAGGTGCAGTGACTGGTCCAGGCCATGGTCTTTGTGATTACTTGTTATGCATCAGAGATCAGGACAATGACTAAGGATTACAGAAGAAGAATTAATGCCTTTGAGTTGTGGTGCTAGAGAAGAGTATTGACCATACAATGGACTACCAGGAGAACAAATAGGTCTGCCTTGGAAAGGGTGAAACCAAGTTTCACTTTGGAGGTAAGGATTTTGAAGTTCCATCTCACTCACATACTTTGAACACATGGCCAGGAGGGACCAGTCCTTAAAGAAAGACACCATGCTTAGAAAGGTGGAGGGACAGCACAGGAGAGGAAGACCCAAGAGGAGATGGGTTGACATGGTAAATGGGGCAGTGGTATTAGGTGTATCAGAGTCAGTGAGACTGACTCAGGATAGGACAGGGTTCAGAGCTATTGTATACAGGGTCACTATGAGGCACAGGCTACTCAGCAGCACATAACAACAACAACATAGTTACAGGAAGCCAAATAAGAATTGGGGAAACAAGCTGCCAAAAACACCCACTAAAGAAATCTAAGTAAGAAAATTATGAGAACTCAAGAAGTACATTAGCATAGATGAAAAAGGATGAACAGAAATGAAAAGTATCTAAAACAACAGAAATTATTAAGTCTCTGAGTATCTAATAGCGCTCTGGTAAGCTAGTGTTAAGTAGTTGTGCTGCCAACTTGAAGGCAAGCGGTTCAAGTCCACCAGCTGCCCCATGGGGGCAATCTCCCACTATACCATTTATTGCTCTGGAAACCCTCTGGAGGGTCAGCTATGAGTTGGTTCCAAATTAATGGTACATAACAACAACTAAAGCAGATACAGGTATAGGGAGAAATGTTGGCTAATGCAACTTTGAAATCTTAAGTCTGGCATTAATATTTATCAAAATAGGAAGGGGACGAGGAGAGAATTTCAGGGGGAAAAACACAAGTTCTATTTTTTATTTGTAAGTTTTGCTGCTCCTGTTTGGTAAATGAAACAAACAGAAAGTAGGCAGTGAGACTGAAGACTGGAGTTCAAGATTATCTTTGAGACTGACAATAATAACTAGGGTAGGGGACATTGTGAAAATGGGAGCTAAAGCCAGGGCAGGGCACCTGATAGCCACAGAAAACCAAAGGGCAATTTGGAGTGTGCGTCCCATCTACTGTCATGCTGCACGTGAGTAGAAGGTCAGAAGTCAAAATGACTCCAAGATGCCACAGTTGAGTTTCTCAGTGCAGAGTGCAGGTTTGGTTCACGCACATACAATGAGCTTGCTTTAATCGGACCCCTGCAGCCAATGTCAGTACTCGGGTGTCAAAGAAGTTCCATCTTCCCATATGGGGCTGCACACACAGACTCAACAGTCACCCACAACCCCCTGGTCAGATGATTCTTAATCTGTGTAGAGGGTTTGACTCCAGCTTTTGTTGTTGCTGTTGTTGATTGCCTTCAAGTCGAGCACGACTCATAGTGACTCTATGAACAAAAGGCCTGAAGCCCCTCTACAACTATCAACATTTATCAAAGTTCATAGAGTTTCCAGAGGCACGTTATTTAGGAAGTGGACGCCTGTGAAAAATCCCTTCCCATCTGGATAACACTCCCCTGGGTCTAGAGAGTCCTACTCTATAGGAGTGACCAGTGACATAACCTTGAACTTTTCAAGTTAAAAAGCTTGTCACTCAGGCAACAGAAGTAGATCATAACGTCCGGAGCTCTCCAAGGTGCTGCATCTGATGCCAGCAAAATGCTCACTCTTGCACGAGCTCCTGCATCCATGAAATCCAGGTCTCTCTGTTCTGGATATGACAATGATTACTCAGGCAAGTCTGATTAATGCCACATTCTTGCTGGACCTCTGACAGATCAGGGGAACTTGTTCACACTGCAAGGTAGGGGCAGCAGGAAAGCCAGTCTGACTTGCCTCAGTCCTACCTCTCTGATTTCTTTGCCAAGTGCATTGCCACTCTCTGGACCCTTAATTAGGCTCTGTGTTTCTGTAGTACATGACTATTCAGTAAGTATACTCTTCTAGATCTTTGGCCCACACACTCAACCTTGGCCTTGATCACATGTTCCTGTTTGCTTCTTAAGCACCTGGGCAAGGAAAGAGATAAGCGGTTACTGAATGAAAGCTACTCCTTCCACATGAAAGTATTCTCCTAGATCAAAAGCTCAGGCATTTCTAGTCTAATGAAAAGATTTCAGGAGTTTGACCTTCACTCTAGAAAGAGTGTGTGTCAGAGAAAGAGAACGAGAGAGAGAGAGAGATATTCTATATTCAATTCTGTAGCACAATTCTATTTTCCTGTCCTGCGTGGATACAAAATAATCCTACTTCCTCAGTGACTCGGAGTCCAGCAGTAAAATACTTCACACAGCCCCCACCAGGCCTATAACAACGAACCACCCCTTTCTAAAAATGAGCACAAAGCGTGAAAACTGAGTGTTTGAAACGAAAACTAATTATCTCAAATTACTACCTCCAGTCAGTCACTTTCAGGGCTGTTTAATTAGCAGTCAGCATCATGTTTAGGATTAATTAAACAGGTGTAAATGGTATATAAAATAAAAGTGCAGCGTGAAGATGGCTGGACGGTTGTTTGAATAATTAGGTAACGGACTTTCTCCCCATAGTCTTAAATAGCTTCATCTTTCCAGATCAATGTGCAGAAAAGCAATGTGAAAGTACATGTTGGTGTCTGCGTTGGCTTCGTTTCTGAGATGCCTCTGTCTACAACAGTGCGTGCCACTGTACACCGATGGCATTTTAAAGACAATCTCCCAAGTTATCGTGAGGTCACACCTCATTTTTATTCTGAAAGACCACTAAGCATTGGTTCATTAACCATTTTAATTTCTGCGCCAGCTTCCCCAATCTTTCCACTATCCTCAAATTAAACTTCCACTGGCACTTGATGTGAGATTTTTTTTTTAACTTAAGATGTTTCTTTCCCTTTTTCCTACACCACAGTCAAAGAGCGCTGGTGTTGCTAGTAGTCATGTACTCAAATGTTGTCCCCAAGGCTGGCAGTTCAAACTCACCCCGAGACTCTGTGCAAGAGAGATCTGGTGATCTATTTCTACAGAGTCCCAAAACAAAACAAACAAAAGAAATCAAATAGACTGTCAGCGAGGTTATTCCACTTTTTGGTGACCCTCCGTCATGTTCATAAGGCTGTAAATGTTAATGGACATAGACTGCTGCTTCTTTTTCCCAAAGTGCAGCTGGTAAGTTTGAACTAACTAACTTTCAGTTAGTAGTCCAACTCAGCCCACTGTACCACTGAATCAACTCTATCACATGGTGATGTCATGAGTTGAAGGTGACTCAATAGCACCAAACATGAGCACCAAAGCCACCTCGAC